GCTCTTCTATCTCCCGTGATGTCGACTTACCTTTTTGATATTTCCTTAAAAATTAAATTAATTGAATTTGGAACGCTGCAAGTACCTTCGGAACCTTGCCTAAAGGGATTTTAATAAAATTTATTAGTTATTTTAGTATATTTTTAAGGTTTTTAGTTTTAGGTTCATTGTTCCTGTATATATTTGTAATTAATTACATTTGTGTTCACGTTATATTTGCATATAATAAAACAGGTAACACAGTCCTTTATATAAATTATCTACGATGAACTTTAGCCTCAAATGTGCTCAATTTGCGATTTTGGGAGTAACCTAAGCAATACTTTTTGTCGACCTCGAAATGTTATAAACTCGAATTTTTGATGTGTAACATCTTTTCTCTCGCTTTCCTGCAATTTGTGGGAGTGATTTCGTGAAATGGGACGGAAGTGTGTAACAGGAAGTCGCGAAAGCGCGCGCTATTTGATTTGATTTTAGAACATATTGTTCAAATGGCTTATTTCCTTTTGTAGTAGGTTTTAATTTCTTTTTTTACTAATATAAGATGAGGTTTCACATGTTACACATCATACGTGACTACTGTAAGGCTTGCTCGTTTTTTTTTATTATTTCAAGTTATGTTATTACATATAGAATGGGCTTAGAAACTTTATATAATCTAATATATAAAATTCTCGTGTTACGATGTGCGTAATTGAACTTGCGTAGTCGAAACGGCTCGACCGATTTTCGTGAAATTTTATATGCATATTCAGTAGGTCTGAGAATCAGACAACAATTATTGTTCATCCCCCTAATGTCCACCCTCAAAAATTTATTGTTTTTGGCAATTTTTTTTGTTTTTTTTTGATACATCATAGAACATACAATCCTAAATCACCCTTTTCACCCTTCTACCACCAACCCCTATTTCTTTACGGCGACACGAAGTTCGCTGGGACAATGAGTATCTAGATATATAAAGCTATGAACCCCTACCCGGATACATTTTATTAAATCGTGTTAATTAACAAGCTAAAACAAACATACCTACGTTTGAGATAATAGGAGATGTTCAGACCCATCGAGAGCCTTATTACCTCAGGAAAGACACGAAAACAGATCGAAGACCTAAGGAGTAATTTGGCTTGGAATCCCGTAATTAGGAAGAATAATTGGTTCAATTTCCTGTTACCATAGTGAGGTAATAACAAAATTCCAACACAACGACTAGATATAAATATAGGTTGCTTTGATTAATTGGATACCTATTATTTGTCTGTCGAATGACCGTGATTGTTTTTTTTTTCTGTTTAACATGAACAGTAGAATTATTGTAGTCTAACTTCCGAGACATATTGTATTAGGTATGAAAAACTAAATCAATAAGGAGAGTTAAATTATTTCAAGTATGTAATTAGTTCCGTAATTATTTGTTTCAATACTGTTGTTATATTAATCGTATAGAACTTACGATTTATTTTGTTATTTATTTATTTGGAACAGTCTTTTTGCACCACGGTATGAACAGACCCATTACAAACTATAGATTGGGCGTTCCACCTCACTCCTTGAATGCAGTTTGAAACGAAATGGGTGATTTGGCCCGCGGGGTGAACCGCAAAAACGTAATTGGACAGCAAATTAAAAGAAGTAGGACACAGCGGATTTTCCGCTCGAATTGGAGCCCCCGTCTGGGGAAGTTACCTCCACCTTACAGAAGACCACCCTTACAGTGCTAACTTAGGGGCTAGGCTAATCGGTGTGAGTTTTATATATTAAAAAAAAAACGACAGGTTGCACTCCGGGAGTGCCGGCAGAAATGAAAACTTGAATATTAACGTTGTGCATTTTTGATATTTTGGAATGGTTAGGAAATAATTTTGCACAGTAAAATAACACTACCTTATGGTGGTGTTGTGTTTCTGTCGATGAGTAAGGTTCCAGGGCTCCACGAGGTAGGGGATTGGGTCAGGGCAGGCAGTGGCGCAAGTGTTATTTTTTTTATCGCAAGCGTCTGTAGGCTATGGCGATCGTTTACCATAAGGCGGACCATATGCTTGATTGCGATACCTTCAATATAAAAAAAAATATAAAAAAGGTTGCTACTAAATACAGACGCTTCACTTCCAGCGAAATATCCACTATGTTCTACTTCACTTATGATAGAATGCGTGAATTATTAATGTATCTACATGCAAGCATCGTTTTCACCAATTTTAATTAAGTATTACGACAAACTTTTTTATTTAATAAGGAAGGGGCAAGTGGTTACACGTAGTAACAATGAGACGCAGTATAACAGAAAGAATATCACTGCCTTTTTCTTATTTGTCTATGGTCTTTATTGACGTGCTTTATTAGTTTCACAAGCCTTACAGATATAATACAGAGATATTCCTTTTATGTTACAGTATCCCCCCCTTTATTTTATACTATGGTACACTTAAAATAGTATAAATAAAGGGCGGTACACTATGGTGTACGGTATACTATGATACACTTGCCATAGTACAAAATAAAGGGCGTTTCATTATGGTATACTAAGGTACACTTACCATAGTACAAGATATAGGGCGGTACACTATGGTATACTGTATATTAAGGTACACTTACCATAGTACAAAATAAAGGGCTGTACACTATGGTATACGGTATACTAAGGTACACTTAACATAGTACAAAAAAATGGAGGTACACTATGGTATACGGTATACTATGGTAAACTTGCCATTGGTACACTTACCATAGTATAAAATAATTATGAATAATAGCAAATCGCCTAAGCTGATGACACTATATAATTCAACACAAACATTTGAAGAATACGGTGATGCAATGGCGGAAAATTTTGTTGTCTGAATTTATAAAAGTAACATCAGCTATGGTTATTTGCTATTATTCATACTTAGATACAAAGTGCACTCTGACTCACAGTGATTCAGCAAACAATTATATGGCATATTTGTTCCTTAGGTTTCACGCACATCACTCATTAAATAAAACTAAACTTCGACAAACTTAAATAAAAAAATCATTATTCTGACGACGCAGAACTGAAAAGGCTGCGAAACGTCAATAAATAAATAAAATTCGTGCATTAAACCGTTTTATTTAATTATGTGACAATTATATTTACATAACAAATGTTAATGTTTGTCTTCTGTTTGTCGGTGTTTGTATAGTGATAAAAGACAATGACCTCCGTGGCTGAGTGGTTTGTACGCCAAATTTCAGGGCCTACTCATATGTGGGCTATAAGTAGCCCAGGTTCGAATCCCGGTGGGGCAAATGTTAGTATGATGAACACGAGCATATTTGCACCTAAGTCATGGGATGTTTATATATTTTTCTAGACAAATATACCTACTTATATATGTATCAGTATAATATGAATTTCATCCGTTACCTTAGCATCCCATAACACAACCCTTACAGTGCTAATTTAGGGGCTAGGCTAATCGGTGTGAGTTTTATATATTAAAAAAAAAACGACAGGTTGCACTCCGGGAGTGCCGGCAGAAATGAAAACTTGAATATTAACGTTGTGCATTTTTGATATTTTGGAATGGTTAGGAAATAATTTTGCACGAATTGCTTTAATTATCAGCATAAAAGTACTATCATGTATGTGGTAGAATACAATATTTATTTATTGCGCTATCGTACACAAACATAACAATTTATATTACATTAAAAAAGTTTATCTCTCAGTAAAATCAACTTACATGAATCACCTTTAAGCGCACTTAGCGACATCTATTGTAAATAAATCAACTTACATGAATCACATTTAAGCGCACTTAGCGACATCTATTGTAAAAAAAATGCATTTTCTTCGCAATAAAGCTGCCACGTCGACGTCCTAGATAGAGACTTATTATTATAATACGCTAAAATAAAATATTACTATGTTTCGTCCAATATATTGAAAGTCAACAACCTTTCCAATTTTATTGTGTGTCATGATGCGATCAGCCCACGTGTTTAACCTGACGCGAGTTTAACATTTTTTACCCATACACAAAAAAAGTTTTCACTTCAAAACTTTAATAAAGAACACAATTTACAATTTGTAGTGAAACTTTAACTCTAAAGAGGTAAAATAAGAGGTACCACATCACTATATTATAAATAAATTTCCCACTGAATATGTTAATTTTGATAGTTATCACTGTAAAAATCACAAGACGATGCCATAGTTTTCCTACTTGCAAAAGAGCTTTTTACCAGATAGACTGGACATAACACTTTTATGATTTTATACGCAATACGGATGCATCTAAAAGTACTGAACATGTCATTTTTCGTTATTCACATTATCAAAACCATGACAGAGATATATTGATTTGAAATGTCTAAACTACTTAAAAGTGACGTCACGAACTCCCCACTTTATCATTTCTTGGTTGGCTGACAAAAGAAATATAAGTGTCCATTATTTTTTGACATCTTTTTGACGGATTACATAGAATTTCATTTACTTTATCCCGTCATTATCCCTTTATTTTGTGGATCTATATCATGATTTTTTCTTGCAAAAGTATTCTAATTAACTTAGTTCGTTGATCAACTTTTACTATCTGTGCAAGATAGATTAAAAAGATCTATGTTTACTCGCTAACATATTGATCTTTTTTTAATTTGAGACTGAAATCTCAGAATAATAAAGTAATTATTCTGCGAATTCAGTGCAACGTAAACTCTCAAAAATTTTAAGTTAAATGAGGAGCGTAATAACTTGCCCGACAAATGACGGATGATTGCGTATTGTACAATTGCAATAATTATAGTTCGTACATCTTCCACTGGCCATTCTTTTGGAACTTGAATCTCCGAAGTTAGCATTTAAATTAATAAATCATATGATATCACCTTAGCAACGAACCAAACTCAACGATATGTGAATTGTAAACAAAACGCGCTCCTTATCCAACTGCATTAACCAAACGCGACAGCACATGTGAACACACACACACGCACCCTGAGCTCACACCTGTTAAATGACGTACGTAACTCACCGTCACAATCCGAAAACACGTAATCGAATGAATCCAAGAACTTTTTGAAATCACTAGAACTCAATTCCGTTAAGTTCACAGGTTCCGCCATAACGCGATTTTTGATATCAAGTCTCTGTCACTTGGTCACTGTTAAATACTTTTTGGTGATAAACACGTGTGTGTAACCTAGTTGTGTGCCAAACTCGACTGCGCTCGCGTCACGTCACTGCGTACTAAAATATAAGGGGAGTCGCGTAGACGCCGTTTCCATTGGTTCACGGATAGCTTCGAATTAATTTATTAATGAAATTCAAGACTGTTTCGTCAGTTGGTAGTTGCCGTTTTGCTTTGAATTCTAATATTTTTACGAAAGTCTGTTTCGTCATTTTAAAAATATGAATAGATTATCTACGCTCTCAGTTCTTGAGCTATTGGTACTTAGATAATTTTTGAAGAATAATAGTGACGCTAACAAAATATTAATATTAATGACAATGGAAACGTACAACTTTATTCAATGCTGATAAGACTTTACTCTACGTTAATCAGAGTTGTGAATCATAAAATATAATAATCTTTCATTCGAACTTCAAGTTAAAATTAAACAAGTTACGTTTATGTTTCATCGTAGTAATTCAGGTTTTGATAATGTTGATTGGCTTTGCATGTTAAAGCTTAACCGAAAATAGTTTCTAAATTTTGTAAATAATAAATTAAAGATTAAGCTTGGATTAGTTACTCCATGTTTCGACTCTGTTCATTGAAAGGTCGAAATAAAATGGAATTTAAGAATGGCATGAACAAAACTCTGCGTAATCTTAAAGGATGCGAAACGTCAATAAATAAAAATAAGTGCATCTTTACCGTTGAAACTTGTTTTTTATAATGAGTGGTGTACGTGAAAACCAAAATAACAAATATAATAGCAGTAAATTATATGTTGGAAATCTCTGTACTACAGTATTCACATACATATGTCACTGCAACACTGAGATAAGTTTTAAATCAAGGATAGTATTGAAAGAACGTTATCGCAAGTGATTTGAAAATTATTTTACGATAAACCATAAGGTCAATATTATTTTGATACGATTGTCTGATATATAGTTATACGGTAGTCGTTTGATAAGATTACAAGGACTGTAAATAATTTGACACAATTATACACTACTATATGATTTTTTTTTATCCAAAGCGTCTCAAATTAAAACCGATTACTTAAAATGGCGTCTTAATAACATTAGCGATTGTAGTAAGTGCTTGGTAGTTTTCAGATTTATTTATTAAGCTATTATCATGTTTTATTTTTAAAAGATTTTTTATTATTTAATGTTTGAATTTTGTCGATTTTCCAAAAACATTGTCACATTTGCTTCCTTCCAACCTATTTTCTTTATTTACTATTTATTGGATTTTTTTCAATACTTTTTTTAACCAGCGACCTTTTTTCCTTATTTTTTTTAACAAATCTTTGTTCATAATAAATTTCCTTTTTTAAAATCTTATTGTGAAGTAATGAATGATTGCTTTAAAAGCAAATAAACTTTGTTATTTTCAAATGGAGCATTCACGCTGAATCTTTAATATAATTCAACAATAGAAAAAACATGTGGGATTCAAGAAAAACTGGTATTCCATTCCCAAAATAAAGCTGTTAGCGACGCTCACCGCCTACAGGATTGTAAATATGAAATATTTCTAACGAGTATCTAAAAAGGCTCTTAAGGGATCAAGTAACTTTTGTTCGGATATAAATTGTCTGTACCACCTGAGGTTGTCGACCGAGTAATCCCTTTGCTTTACTATATCAGGGCAGCACTTGGGGAATAGGGCAATCCATTCTATATTCCATGAATAAATCTTTCATTAAATACTACTACTACATGCAGCAGTGAAAATTTGTTATTTTTTTTTGATTACTTTTATATTATATTCGAATACGAATTTGATTGAGTTAATCAAACTTATATACTAATATATATTTTCAAAAATATTAGACACATCTTAGAACCAAACCGCTTGAAACAAATTTATTATGCATTGTGTAAATCACTTCACTACTTACTGTATAGTCTGCTGGGATAGGCGGCAAAAACAGTACTTAAGAAATTAGGAATCGCACAAAGGGCAATTCTAAAAATCTGTACATTTAAACCGTATATATTTTCAACAACTGAATTATATAGTTATTGTGATGTTCTCACAGTCCTTCAACTTTTTATTTTAAACCTGGTAATCAAACAACATTTCAAAACTGAATTTAATCCTAAAATGCAATTTACTCGCAGGGGATTCATATGCCAATTTAAAAACAGGTTTTCGACTGCTTTTAGTAATAGGGTCCCCTACATTTCTAACCTCTAATCTATAATAAAATAAATAAAATATTAAACATATATCCTCTAACCATTTATAAATGTAAAATGACAACAACGTCATGGTTAAAAACACTTACGCATGATGAGACAGAAAAAATGTTGCAGGTCATTAAATAATTTAGCCAATAGATAACAATACATAATAATATACATAATGTAGTACAGTCATACCATAAATATCATATTATTGTTATAGTACACACACACACACACACGCGCGCACACGCACTTTTTCTGAATATATATGTCAATTTCTTGTCTTTTCCATTTAATTTTGAATGTAATGGACTTATGATGCTATATGTGCTAAGGGGATGAGCGCTGTATGCCGTAATACAGGAATTTTGCCTAGCTCGGCAGCAGATAAATATGTATGTTAAAGATATTAGTACTGTTTTAGCCTTATAAGTAAAATTGTAAATCACCCCTTATTGGAAATAAAATTATTATTATTATTATAAAAACTATTAAAATTGGAAGACACATTTAAATTTGGTAATCCCATGATAATATAATTATTTCAATAACTACGAAAATAAGCATTTACCGCTTAGATCAATCATAATTACACCGTAAAGCATAAGCAAATAATTAAGCCGTTTACTGATTTAATAGAAGCAGTACATAGATACAGAAGTTGTCATATATCGATATAATAATATTACACGATATTTATTTCGAATAAGACAAACGAGATAATTGACAAAAATAACCTTGAATGCCAATAGTACAATAGTATGTCCATGATTTCTACAATGATTATTATAGTGAAAGTGCATATTATTATAGTGAATACAAAAATATATGAGATGATTTGAAAACCTATTTATACCGAATTCTGTAAAATAACTACGAAGAGAAGACAAAAAATATAGATAGATATTGACAGTTATACAGAGACATAACGAGTTTAACATTAAGAGTGAATGTTAGACCATGAAAATCTTATTGAAAATAAATATCGTACAAGTATGCTGCCCTTAATGAGTGTCTGTAGCTGACGCAGCGCAATCCGGTTTGCAGTTTTTTTTCTCTAGTCATCATTAGAAAGGGAGATTAATGTAGGTCCGTAGGTGTATTATAATTACAACATATCTGATCCCTACACCCTTTTAATTCTATAATCCTTGTTATACTCTAATTTTAAGTAAACAATACTTTGAGTTATACTTTTCATATCCTTCAGTATTCTTATTCCACAATATGGACATACAAACTTATAATAAAAAGTTGTAAAGAAAAAATAGAAGTTAAAATCAAAATGATATTATTCAACATCGGATTTTATAAAGTTACGTTGTTATACCAATTATAACAATGTTATTTAACTTGAGCGCTTACGGATTTTTCCTGGAAGTAATAAGTGGGTAGGCAGGTAGGTAGGTATACGAAAATCGATTTTCTATTTATACTTACAACACGAGTAAACAGAAAGTTTTCAAATTCCATTCGAACGGAAAGAAATCGGATCAGTAACGCGCGCTTTCAACACGACAATGGACACAAATTGTATTATCGATTGTAGCCGGACCGTCGCCGCAGTGATGGCCTTGTTTCATGCCAGCCCACAATTAGTTCCAACATTGGCATTCGAAGGGAAATTAGCAAGAATCGATTTGTCTCACCAAGTCCGATGATTAGTCCTGATCTGCGTGAGGTCGCAGGTCGCCGATTTATTTTTAATTACAACTTCCGTATTGTGCGGTTTTAAATTGTGGTTCAAGGTCTTTCTTGTGGTTTTTAGGGTTACGTATGTCAAAAGAAGAAACCGGAACACTTATGTGATAATTTTCCTGGTCGTCCGTTTGTTAAGACTAGGGGGCCATTCACCTCACGGAAAAACTATGGAAAACGTTAACGCTTTCGATTTTATTTTGTTATTTCTGACCGCCGAAGGTTTTCAAATACCTCACGCTCATTTTTTTTAATATTGTTATTACCAATGCAAAAGAAAAAAAAGAGCGGGAGGCATTTAAAAACCTCAGACGGCTAGAAATAACAAAATGAAATCGAAAGCGTTTCCGTTAGGCGGATGGCCCCCTGTAATGTGTGGAGCTAACAAGCTTATGGGCACTTCACTTGCCTATTCGTGTTTGCTATTTGTAAAATGGACATTAGTTTCTATTTTTAATTCCTTTTATAGCATGATAAGGACATACTGTATTCAATTTGGAAATAGCAAATGTGAATACGAATAGCCAAGTGAAGAGTCAGCAATACATTACTATCAGATATGATGTGCCTGTCCATCCGTATATCAACGGACTGCATCTCATGATACAGTTAAAATTATTCACCGTTACAACAGCAAAAAAAAAGGTAATGTGAGTTAAATAAACTTGTTTCGTTTAAGCAAATTTTTTTTTTGGAAAAGGTACAGAATATTCGATCGCGTTAATTACCCCCTAAGCAGTTCTGCGACTCCAATTCAGCTGAATATGAATCAAAATCTGAATGCCGTGACACACGCCAACATTTGCCGTATTTTTTAAAATCTTATTATTTTGGATTTTTCAATGGCAACCTGAGTATTTTTTTATATTAGATGTGACTCTAAGATCGTGGGCACGTAGTGGCGTATCAAAATCAGATAATGTTCAACGTTTAATTTGTGGCCGGCAAAGTTATATGGACTTTTATCCAACACTAGCTGTTGCCCGCGACTTCGTACGCGTGGAATTAGTCATTTTAAGTAGCCTATTGTTTTAATTCTCTTAGTTTACCCAAGGAATAAGATTTTTATACATCCTTTCATTAAAACCTGAAACCCTTATTTGAAATCCTTCGGGGGGGGGGTGAGGGGGGGGTTCCCCAAATATTTTTTTCTATTTCTTTCAATAAATAAGAGCGACAGGCGGCCAGCAAGCTCCGCCTCCTCGTCTCGCCCGCCGCCGCGCCGCCAGCGTCTTGTCTTGCTTACATCAAGCGC